TTAACATCTTGACTTTCTGTAGCGTGTGTGATAGCTGGTGAAGCACTATATTACATTATTGATGATGGTGAGAATTCTTGAACCAATACTTTATTATTAACTAAAGCCAGTCTTTTACAGTAGGGTTCACTCTTTGCGTTCTATAGTTCTGTGGGTTTTGACAAGTATATGTGTCATGTGTCCACCCCCAGAGTCTTCTACGAAGACTTTCACCGCCCTAAAATGCCCCTGTGCTCCACTGAGTCATCACCCTCCTCTCCCTCTCCAATCCTCCACTCCTTCTTCCCTGGTTAACACTTGTTACTGCCTCTGGAGTTTTGCTTTTCTGTAAGTAGCCATTTCAGACTTGCTTCTTTCAGGTAACAATATATGTTTAAAGTTTCTCCGTGGCCTTATGGCTTAATAGCGCATTTCTCTTCATCCCTGAATAATATTCCAGTGGGTGGGTGTACCACAGTTTATCTATTCACTTATGCAAAGGCTCATATTGACCTGGGTATGGTGACTCCTAGTTCTAGTCCCAGCTACTCAGGGAGGATTGCTTAAGGCCATGATTTTGAGGCCACCGCAAGTGATACATGGAGACACCCTGTCTCTTAATTAAAAAAAAAAAAAGGAAGAAGAAAGGCTTATCTTGGTTGATTCTAGTTTTTGACAGTTATGAATAAGACTGTGAAAAGTATTCATGTGAAGACTTTTGTGGGGACATCAGTTTTAAACTCATGTGGGACAATACCCAGGCGTGCAATTGCTGAATCATGTTAAGACCATGTGTACCTTCCTAAGAGCATATCAGTCTGTCTTCCCAAGTCCCTGCAACGTTTTCCATTCACATCGACCGTGAATGAGAGTTCCTGTTGCTTCACACTTCCCCCAGCAATGGGTGGTGTCCGTGTTTTAGATTTTAGCCACTGTACCAGGTATTTGGTGATACCTCATTATGATTTTCATTTGCTCTTCTCTAGTGACATGTGATGTAGAGCCTCCCGGCATATGTTCTCCATGTGTATGTCGTCTTCAGTGGGGTGTATTTCCAGAGCATTTGCTTTCTTTTTAACTGGTTTGTTGTTTTCTTGAGTTTTAGGAGTTCTTTGTATATTTTGAGTAGTAATCCTTTATCAGATAGATGTTTTGCAGATATTTCGTCCCAGTCTCCAGCCTGTCTTTCATTCTGTTAACAGTGTGTTTTGCAAAACAGTTTCAATTTGATTGAAGTCCAATTTATCCATTTCTCATGCACAGATCTTGCTGTTGGTGTTGTGTGTGAAATCTTCTTTCTTGCCAAGTCCAAGGTGGTCTTGATTTTCACCAGTGTTATCCTCTAGAAGTTCTGAATTTTGCATTTCCCATCTAGGTTAATGATCCATTTTTTGAGTTTATCTAATGAAAGTTATAAGTCTGTGCTTAGTTCATTTCTTTACACATTTTAGTCAAGCTGTTCAGTTACCATTTGTTGAAAAGACTACACTGTCTCCACTGAATTATCTTGGCTCCTTTGTGAATGATGAGATTACTATATTTGTGTGTGGGATTATGTCTGCATTCTCCATTCTGTTCTATTGATCTATTTGTACATTCTTTTCAAAATACCAGTGTCTTTGCTGTAGCTTTATAGGAAGTCTTGTAGTCAGCCTATTTTCTTAAGTGACCACATTGGGTCTTTTGTATTTCTGTGTCTCTGTTTATATATCTATGTGTGCAGTGACAAAGCCTATTTGTCTATTGGGTGCTATATGTGTATGCCCTATAAGTCTGGAAGGTTTTTATTTTATTTTCTGGCCTGGTTGAACTAGTAGCAATTCCCTTCCCAAGCTGAATAGAAGAGGTAAGAGGAGACATCCTTGTCTTATGTCTCATCTTTGGGAGAAAGTGTTTTTAGTCTTCCACCTTCAAGTTTGATGGTAACTTTACATTTTTTATGCATGCCTTATGATAGATTGAGGAAGTTCCCTTGTATTTCTAGTTTCTTGAGTATTCCAGTCATGAAAGCCTGTTGAGGTGTGTCACCTCCTTTACCTCCTTTTCTGCATTTCTTAGGATGATCTTCTGTGGTTTTTTGTTTGTTTGTTTTGCTGACAGAGTCTTGCTCTGTTGCCCAGGCTAAAGTGCAGTGGCATTAACACACCTCACTGCAGCCTCAGACTCCTGGGTCAAGCAATCCTCCTGCCTCAGCCTCCCCAGGAGCTGGAACTACAGGTATGTGCCACCACGCCCAGCTAATTTTTCTATTTTTTGTCTAGGCGGGGGTTTCACTGTGTTGCTCAGGCTGGTATCCAACTCCTAGCCTCAAGCAATCCTCTCACCTTGGCATCCAAAGTGCTGAGGATGCTGACTCAGGTTTGGTCAAGGAGGGAGTCCTTGAGCCCCAGCCCAGTTCTTCCCAGGGCTGACAGTAAATCCCTAAATTTCTGGTTCCATCCTCCCATTCCAAAATGCCAACTTCTTCTCTCCAGTTGTCATCATTGTCAACTATGTGTCCCCCATGCCACATATGAAATACTTGCAGTATTGTTTATCATATTTTCAAAGAGCAGTAAATGGCTGTATTTTAAAATCTTATCATTTATCTGAATATTTTTCAAGAGGAAAGTACTGAGTATCTACCTGAAGCTACATTGTGTAAAATACTTGTATGTAATAACTTGTGATGTTGACCATCTTTCATTTCCTTATTGGTCATTTTTATATATCTTAGAGAAATGTCACTCAAGTCCTTTGCCCATCTTTTAATCAGTTTCTTTGCTTCTTTGGTACTATACTATTGTTAACTTTTACAAAAAACACTTAAGTTTACCAACTTCATAGCCTGGACAACATAGTAAGACCCCCATCTCTAAAAAAATTATTTTTTAAATGAGGCAGGTGTGGTGGCATGTGCCTGTAGTCCTAGGTACTCAGGATGCAGAGGCAGGAAGATCGCTTCAGCCCCAGGAGTTTGAGGTTGTTGTGAGGTATAATCGCGCCACCGCACTCTAGCCCTGGTGAAGCGAGACCCTGCCTCAAAAAAACGGGAGGAGGTGTATCTGATAATGTTGATGTTATCTCTTTCCTTTGTGGCCGGAAACTCAGTTTTAAGGTTTTTCTGGGGTCCCCTTGGCCAAGAAGAGGTCCATTTAGTCAGTGAAGAGGGATTTTATTAATATGTTTTCTGCCTTTGGGCTAAGATTTGCCACAGGCAGCACTGATGGCCAGACTTTTTTGTTGTTGTTCCATCATTGCTGGGGTGGTGTGGCTAACTGCCCTATTCCATCCAGGTCCTTGGTGGGAGCCTTGTGGCCAAGGGGACTTAAGAGTCAAAAGGCTTACAGCCAATTAAATGTACTAGGCCCGATGGGAATGGAGATGGACAGGCATTTATTAACCTTTAAACCCTTTTTAAGCAATGTAAGAGCACAATGAACTAAATGCCATTGCAAAGCTATAAAGTATACTTATCTATAAGCATTGAGAATCTTGATTTCAGTTATAGACTTGTAGGAAATTGCTATATAAAACATAAGCGTTTTGTTAAAGCTATCTGAGCCTAAGGGACTCTTCTATCAGAATGCTTCTTGTAGTCTCTAGAATTAACCACATTTTGGCTGGGTTGGTAGCTCATTCCTGTAATCCTAACACTCTGGGAGGCCGAGGTGGAAGGATCACTTGGGCTCAGGAGTTTGAGGTTGCATTGAGTGATGATGACGCCACTGCACGCTCCCTGGGGTGACAGAGCGAGACTCTGTCTCAAGAAAATAAACAAAAAGGTTGTAAGTCATGTCTAGTTCTGATAATGACAGGAAAAGGAAGCTTACAGGTAGCTGAACATTCAAATTATCTAGTAACAAATTATATTAATTTAGACAGAAACAAAATTATTAAATGAGTCCTACTGTCGCTGAATATAGGCCTGGTTCTGTGAGTCATGAAAGCAGTTACATTTGGATTGTTGTCTTCTCTTGGGTCTGAAAATGAGGCTTTGGTTAACTTGAGTTTGATATTAGATACCCAGGAGCCCCAGCCCTGTGACTTAACAGCACAAGGGTTAGTTAACATATTTGATATAGCTTTGATGTGATCTTGAGAACGTTTGTCAAAGATGTTAAAAGGCTGAAAACATTTGATCAAAACAGAATCACAGGTCATTGTAAAATAAACAGTAATTCA